CTCACATTTGTTTAGATCTAGTACTCAAGAAAATTTACACGGATATTTTCAAGAGTAGAACCTTGTGACAAAGAAAATAAGCCAATTTTATTTCTTTGCATCTCATAAAAATGGTAATTCTGCTTTTACAATTTTTTTACTTGTAATCTCTTTGTTATTAAAACATAAGCAAACGTCTGACATCTGAGAATGTTTCACTATGTCTTTTAGAAGTCATACATTGTTCTGACTGAATTTCCTATATGGATTTGTATACATCAATTTAATTAATCACCCACCTGTGCTAAAAGAGAGCCAATTCAATGTCAAACATAAAACTAAAAGCATTTTTTTCTTTGATTCAAGAAGAATGAAAGATAAAATTCATTCTCCTTCATCTCCTGTGTTATAAATAAGACTTCCTTCTTGCTTTTATTGTCTGTTTAAGGATTAGATATTTAAATTAGTTGTTGGAGAATGAGAAAATTTCATTATCTTATCAGTTAATTATAGCTCATTTAATGACAATAATTTAATTTGTTGTTTAATGACAGTCTCACTTTTAAAATAGATGAGGTACTTATTGATGTTCATGAACACTCTTTGGAACTGATGCCATGCATCATGTCTTTGAAAACCACAGACTGATTTAAAAAATGTACAGTCATTGTTCAATGTTGGTTTTACTAATTTGATGAACTATGTCAGTAAGAGTAGAACAACCACTGGCACATGAATTACCTCAAAACTCCACATTTGCCATTTCATTAACGTTTAGCTCTACAAAAATGCATACAGATAGGATTAAATGTGGGATTTCCCATCCATTTTTGACAATAATTATGTCTCACTACAATAATTTGTGCTTCTTATTCATTTAGAGTCAGTCCATGTCAGGTTAACTCAATTTTGATTTCATTAGGGATGAACATACGTCAAACATTGTTGACTGAGTTGAGACTCAGATTTTCAAAGATCCACAAAATCCAAACTACTGTGACCTGAAGTAACACTGATGCTTGTCACCTCAAATGAAGATCAGCTAAGGCATGGGTATGGCAGAGTTTATGAGGAAAGCAAAAATTGTGTTATGACTAGGCAAACCCAGAGGCATCCTGTTCTGGACTGAATAAAGCCTACCTTTAGATTGATTATGTTTAGTGAGTTGACTTGTAATTTCCTCTTGAATCATGAATGTCTGAGCCTTGACTGTTGCAGATTTTGACTTATTGCTGTTTCATGCTACATGAATGTTTCTACTTGATTATCAGTGTTGAGACTTTCCTGAGTGCTCTGCATGCTCCTCCTCAGATCTAATTACATGGACTTTTCTAACACTCTCCAAACTCCTCTGGTTTTCCTGACCTGAGGCAGCTCTCCCACACAACCCTGTTCATCATTTATTTCTCTTCTGGACATCTTTTATTTCCACAATTCTTCTCTCTTCAGTGCACCATTCAATATTCATATTATTTAGTTCATGAAAAAAATAGTTAACTACCTTTTGATTTTGTTTTTCAAAAAATTGAATCTGTGCAAAACAATGATAAAAAGGCCACAGCAGCTGTCCTTTCAAGTTACTTTTTAACCCTACATCACCTTGACAAGAGGTGAGGTTCATTCAGGCCACTCTAGCATTACTTCACTAATTCAGAGATTACTGAAATCTCTTTTCAGATAACCCCCAGTGTGTTGGGGGTGGGGTGGGGTATAGGTACTTGTTGAGCTGGAACCCTGTGGTGAAAGCTATTCAGAATGGGAATAAAACTGCAGTTCAAACCACAGGTGTTAGAATTGAAATTCATTATGCAAAAATCAAAGGAAGGTGTGCTTGTACTTTGCTCCTGGGGAAGACAGAGAAGCCAGCCATTACACACCTTAATAACTCCTTAGTCAGTTAATAATAGTATTCATTCACAAACCCTTTATCAAAATGCAGCAAATTTCAGTGTAACCTGAATTACATTTAAAAAAAAAAAATAGAGTGTTTAGAAGAGAAAATTGCCTTCATCACAGTTGAGCTGAATTCAAGTAGCAGAATTGAAAAAGTCATCATCAATTGCTCTGAAATATTAAATCTTTTTAAGAGTGCAAAAAACCATGTAAAACTTCATGAAATGAGTAAAAAGTTGTACATCTTACAGACATATAATGCAAGCCAGAAAAAGTAAGTTATTATTTTTTCAGCTTTGTAGCAGTGCAGAAATGCACTTTAATTGTAAGGATCTAATACTGCCGAAGGTGTTATTGTTCTTGGCTATTAAGTCCCCTCTTCTTTCATTTATTACTTATCAGAATTAGAGACCAACATGGAAGTAGAGATATAATTCTATTATCTCCCATATTCAAAACTGGTATTTTTCCCAAAACATCTGCTCAATAACTAATATTAAAATGGCATATTTGTATTGTAATATGCATTTATTTGAATAGTCAAAAATATCAACATGACTTCCCAGTTTTAAGTTTGCTTTAGAAAAAAAATCGGCATATAGATGGAACACTGGAAGTTTTTCATCCCTCTATTTTTTCTGAGTCTGCACATATTTTTCCAGAATATAATTATTAATCAACTCAACAGCATTCCAAATAACAATTATGCACACTTGAATACTTAATTATGAGACAACTCATGAAATGCTTCCTTGCAATTTTAAAAGGGATTATCATAAATCAAGGTGGATACTATGGAGGACTCTGCACATGGGGTTAACAGAGCAGCAGTCTAAAAAAAGTCATTAAAAGTATCAGGATGAATGCAAAATGGGAATGCTTTCCCTAGACCCTATTCTTGACCTGAAACTAAGATGCTACATCCTAAAGGATGCAGTGTAATGTGAACTTACATTGTGGAGGTATTTGAACTGCTTGAATAGCAAAAAAGACAAATATTCCCATATGACCATTCCCTTGATACCTGCTCCTGCTTTCACTAGAGTCTATTCAGCCTATCTGTGTAACATCAGCCCAATGAGAGAGAAAACACAGGCAAAGGCCTGGTTTAGATGCACAGCAGAAACACCATACAGGGGGTACAAGGTTACTCTGCCTTCTAACATCACTTCAGATTTCTTTTATACAGAATACTATCTATTTATTTCTCTGAAACGTTTAGGAACATGAAAGAAGCCCAAAAATATCTGATTATACATTACGCATACTGTAATTTTTAGCTGACCATTTAGCTGATAGATTTCATGTGGTTTTATCCCAAAATAAAAATGTATTTATCAGCATTGATATTAATCAACATCTAACCCCAATGTCTTCACAAAAGACCATTTAAATTAGCCACAAAAATAAGGCATAGTATAGCATGTACACAGGCACGAGATCTGTTGTCCCAGCAAAGTTTTCTCATTGGTTTATTTCTGTGTTTGGATGCAAAAGTGAAGAGATTCTCTGACTCCTTCTCCCTGTAATCTTTCTGCCTTAAGAAGAAAGATGGAAAACATATATCTGCCCACAGGGGAAATAATTTTTTCCTACCTGAAAATACTAGATGAATGTCACTGTAACACCAGCACTTTAAAGTTATTGATCAAGTTTTTCCATATAAAAGAGCATTAAACATAAAATTAAGATGCGCCTCACAATTTCCCACTGGTAGCTGTGGGGTTTTTTTTGACTCCCAGGAAACAAATTCTCACACAGCTGTTATTCCCCCATTTATTCTGCTCATTTTTACAACCCTTTCACTGCAGATTAGTTTCAGTGAAGGTCACACAGAGTCTGACACCCAGAGGAGAAAATGATATTCACAGAAAATTTCTCTGATATCAGATGGGGAAATCATACAAATGAAAATTTTGGTATAGGTAAAGCTGAAGCAGCCTATCTTTTTTTGGGGAAAAAAAAACCTCAAAAAAGGCAGCAGCTCTGCAGTTGTATTTGGAGACATGTCTCTCTCAGAGAACCATACTGTCTCTTCCAGAGAATTGCTTCATTTACCTGAAATACTTCCTAGTCAAAATATTCCCTATAAGCCTGCAGAATTTAACAAATTTATCATAAGAATAGCAGAAACCAAGAGAAAACAAATTTCACTCTGATACAAGAGAAAAACAGCCGTAAATTTTTCATGAGCAAGATGAGGAAATAGATGGAGAAAAGCTTTCTCCTAGATCAAAAGTTAGAAAAAAAACCTTTTTCATAAAGAAGAAATTCCAAATTTGTGTAGATACAAATTAAAGACTGATATAAGCTATTAAAGAAAAATAAATTCAATCTAGGCTATGTGATGAGTTGATGTGATTCATTCTTGTTCATCAAAAATTAAGTTAGTGCAAAACCAGGACAGATTACTAAAGGCAAGTAAGAATGTCTGAGGTACAGAAGGAAGAATGCTATCCATGTATACAACATGGCCTCTCTTCACTCTTATGCTCAGGGATTACTGGGACTCTTTAAAACAGCAGTGAAGAAAAACATGACTTGAGATAAATGTTATGTTAATAACTGGGTTTCATGGCAGCAGGACCAAAGGCAAAGCCCTCTAAACCTTTATAATGCTGCATATCTTGGACATCCTATGATTTAAATTATGTTAAAAATATGAACTGAAAACATCATACTTGTCCAAAATTCATGTTAAATAGACAATGTTATGGTCAGCATCCCCAAATCAGAGTGAAACTTTTGTGATCGTACCTTATATTAAAATATTCAAATTTTCTTCAGAGTAGCATTTTAGTAAATATCATCAAGAAGACAGAATGCTTTAGAGGGAATTAAGGAGGCATGATTAATGATAAATAGGATAGTCATTTAGTTACTTCGCACAGGAGGCTGAAAAAACATAAAAACAATTTCTGATTTAATTGGACAAAGCCAGAATCCAAATGCCTAACTCATGCCTTTCCACCAGCTAATTTTATATCTCTCTGAGTCTTCTAAAGGTGTAAGGAGGCATACTGCTTACCATTGTTTTTGTTATGTACACTATGCGTTTAAAATAGATCAATGAATAAATAATAGGTTGAAATGTCCATGAACCTACTTGGAAGTTAATGTTTCTTTGATTTTTAAAGGTTTTCTAAACATTGATTCTATGGCACAATTTTAAAGGCAGAATTAAGAATTGATTTTTCCTATGATTTAGTTAATTTCAATGGGTGTAGTAGCTTTTTGTCAGCTTCATTTACCAAGAAATTTCACATTACACATTCTGGTGCTGGAGGTCAATGCTCACTTGCTTTCCTCATCTAGTAAGATCTTCCATCTTCAGGTTACAAAGAAATTTCACAGGCCCTGAGGAAAAAACCCAAGGAGATACAAAATACTTCCTACAGGTTGGCTGTCTTCCTTGGTTATCTAAATCAAGCAGTTTTGTTTACGTTCCAGAGTCATTAATTCTCTAGAACAAGTAAGACAGAATCCAGAGAAAATTACTCATAACACTATATAAATTGCAAAGGACTTTTCATAGGCTTTTTAGTTTTGAGAAGTATTAAAAATAGTATATTTATTTTTTAACTTAGCTTACCACAGCTGTAGAAATAGACAAAATGTGCAAACCACATAGTAACTAAAAAGGTGAAAATATATCATGGGTAGATACAAGGAATTATCAGTTAACAATTCAAGGATGATGCAGCATAGTTGAGAAAGAGCTGCTCCCATTTGTGTTTTGCAAGTTTAAATAAGGGCCTGGTTTAATAAATAAAGCATGCTTAAAAACAGGAAGATGGCAACACAAATAAAGTCATGACAGGGATATTCACAAAATTTCAATCACATTTCTGCTAAGGTCAAAAGTCAGGTAATAAGAAATCTCACTTTCAACATCTGTGTTGAAAGGCTTTTTTCCACTTTATCACAAACCTCATTATTAGGAAAGAACAGGGTTTATTATTGTAACTTTAGGACAAGACCACAGAAAGTAAGGAACATAACAACCCACTTTATATTTTTATCTTTTACAGCTATGGGTGTTTCAGAAACACCCATATGGTTTTTCAAAAGTATTTCAGTCCTTGTGGCCTAGTAGATACTGACTGTATCTGGCTCTAGGCTTGTTGAACTATCAGCACTGGCCTCAGGCCATCTCTGACTTTGGGCTTGTGTTGGCCTGTCTGGAGCGGTGATTTGGCTTGGAGGAGCTGGTGGCTTTGGCTTCAGAAACGTGTGTGACATAACACCTGCTGTGATATCTGGGGTTTGCAGGAGATGGCTGCTAATAACAGTTAGTTGTTATGCATGGAATAACTGTCCCTGACTGCAGCAGGAGCACAGTGTGTGCCAGGACAGACAGATGATTGTAGCAGGAGCCTTGAACCATCACAGGAAGGAGGCACCAGAGCTAGAAACCCACCAGAGCTAGTTCCCTGGTTAGCAAAGAAAGGCAGCTCTGGGAAATGAGAAAAGCAGTGCTTGGGACAGCAAAGAGAAGAAAGTATGGAACACATTTACTGGACAGCAAATGTGGATACGCCATGGAGCCCTGAGCAAGGGAAGAAAGACAAAGGCATGGAGGTTGCCAGCAAAAGTGTAGAAACTTCCACTGAGTTCTCACATGTGGATGAAGAAATCAATATCATACTCCTGGCAATTAACTTGGTATGCTGCTGGCTTCTCCACTGGCAGCCCAAAAACTTCCCTGTCAGGACATGGGAAATGAGTGGAAGGAAGGTACCTATAAAAGAAAGAGGTGCATACTCTGCAGAAGTTTGTGTATATTAATTTTAACTGCACTTCCTTAAAACTCTAAGTCCTAGCAGTACCAAAACTGGACTAATAGTAATGTTTTGATTAGAACTGCTAAGATTTCAGCTATTAATAATAGATCCTAGACTTATATATACAATGTGTTACCCAACTTGCACAAAAGAGAAATCTGAGTGCAGCAAATTGGCAGGAAATTTTCCTCCAGAAGAGGAGGGTCAGGGAATCCTATCAATGTGCACAAAAATCTGGTGGAGGTTAGTAAAGAGCAGGGAGACAGACTCTTCTCCATGGTGCCCAAAGACAAGAGAAGAGAAGAGGCAACAGACAAATAGCAGTTATAGGAAATTCCCTTCAAATACCAAAAAAGCCCCAGGTCTGTGTCAAGTGGATTGTACATCCATCAGTAGTTGTAATATTTTATTTCTTATACCTCTCTGTCTGTTATGAAAAGAAGTTAATGCACTCAGACATAACAAAAAACACATTAGAACAATACTTTGTACCAGAAGAATCAATTTAGAGAGCTATTAGAGTGGGAGAAATAGTAAATAACATTGTTAAATATTTGCATTTGACCAATATTATTTCTCACTGCCTTTACTCCTTGTGTCTTCTTCCAGTTGTCACAAGACTAGCAAGTAGAAGAAAGGCAACCCTAGAAGCAGTGAGAGCTCACCCAATGGAGTTGAATCCATATGAGATGCTGTACTCTGACAGCATCACTATATTGCAGAATGTACTTTTGAGGAAAGTTTATTTAATATGCTTGTATAAACATTCCAGGAGCATAAAGAAGAACCATTGGGAGTTTTGCCAACTCATGTCTGAACACAGTGTAAAGACTCTCTTTCTCTGGATGTAACCAGTGGCAGCAGTTAAAGGAGATATGATAGCTCCTCTGCAGATGACTTACCACAAATTTTTTTAACTTTAGGAACAAGCAAAAACATATTGCTTTTTTACTTTGTTTTTAAACTAGGTGACATGGGCCAGTTCTAATCTCTTCAACAAGGACATAAGGCCTGTATAAACTTCAGTGAGTAGAAATGCTGTCAGGCTGTGAGATTATTTTGCGTATAGAAAGTTTCTCTTTCTGTTCTGGCAAACACAGCAGCAAGATGTACTGTATTTAAGTGAACTAATGTGCATATAAAACTTTAACAATTAGCTTGTGGACTTTAGAACAAATTCACCAGACATATGCCTATGTGAATTGAGATCTAGTTGACATCCTTTTTTAAACATGTTTATAGACCAGGCATTTTTTTCTCACGTTGTTAGCCCTGAAGGTTAGATTAAACCTTCATAAAGACTTTGACACACTTCATTAAAAAGTAAAATGGCATCACTGGAGTGACTTTAAGTCACAAGATGAAGGAAAAACTGACTAAACTTATTGAAAAATTCTTTGCAGATCTACCACAGAAGCTTAATTCCAGTTTTTAAATAAGAGAGCTTTGCTTTTTTTTTTTTTTTTTTTTTTACATGCTGGTATTTAGTAAATAGGAATAGATTTTTACTTTTATTTCAAAGTTTTCCTCTCATTAGTATCCTCTCCTACTTCTTTTTGTTTTCAAAATTCTTGCATTCACAGAGTACATGCAGAGAGTAATTCAGAAACAACTCAAAAAAGAGGGAGCATTTATTTTAAGATAGGATTTTCATTATAACCAATCCAGAGAAATTAAAATACTTGTACACTGTGTAGCTGGTATTACATCATTATTTGCATTTCCCTGTGTATTCAGTTAATCCACTCCAACCAGACACAGATGTTTTTTTACTCAGATACATCTGTGAGAAGAAAATACATCATCATCATCCATTAGATGTCATACATTCTTGAAGTTTAAAAGAGGTAAACACAAAAAAGGCAAAAGGGAAAAGTGGAAAATTCAGTAAGGCTCATTGCTAAAGGCCTGCAGATACTTCCTTTGATTATTAGAAAGTTTTCTATCACAAGTATGTTATCTTTCTTAAGATTAGAAAATTAGAAACACTTCTCTGTGGTCTTTATTCTTTATAGGTTTTTAAAGTGAAATAAACTCTCAGTTACCCACACTACAAAAGATTGTGAACTTAGTGCACCACACTATATTTCATCTTCAGTTTGAGACCTCATATCCACCCTTTCATGTATTTCATATTTTAATACAAATTAAATTTCTGCTTAATTAATTATGTTAATTAAATTAATTCAATATTCATTTGCCCAGTCAAGGGGTCAAATTTTCTATAGGCTCTCTTCCATAATAATCTCTTTATTCTCTTTTAGAATTGTCATTTAAAGACTAAGCAAATAGTAATTCCATATAAACAAAGATCTGATGAATAGCCAATGCTTGGAAATCCCAGAGACATGGCTGTAATCCTGCACATGCCTGACAGATCCAATGCCACATGGACCAGATCTAGCAATGAAAACAATTTAAACGAGAAGAATGTCTGTCTATCAATTCTGCTACAGCATTGCTCCCTTGGATTTGGGCTGTTGTAGCAGCTGGCTGAAATTCTGTCCTCCTCAGGCTACAGAAAAGTCTCTTCTAGGAATGGGCAAGAGATGTGGTTTTGACCCAGCTTCCCTTGCAAATATGGGGTATTTATTTTTATTTGGAAAAAACTATTTATTTTTATAAATTAATTTATGTTACACTGTTGTAAAAAGTTGATTCTTAATTGTGCTGAAAGAGCTAAATAAGGTAAACCTCATTTATTTCCTTACAAGAAAAAGAACATTTATTGCCAGAAGAAAGGTTTCATGTGGAAGGTTGGATGATGCAGTATCTTCCTTGAGACATAAAGGAAACAACTTTGAACAAAAAGACTGAGATCTGTTCTACTCACTTGTCAGGGACTCCTAGAGAGCTGGTGGATTTATTATAGGAGCTTCCTATGAAAAATAGAGAATAATAATTTTTTTTCTAATTTCCCAGTTCTTTGTAAACAATCTTTGTTTCTGCACAGAGCCACAGAAGTCATAATTATTTTGTCTCTAGCTTTTAGAATAAGCTAGATACGAGGATCTGAGTGTAAAAAAGGCATTTCAGGGCACGCAGGCTGATCCTGAAAAAAAAACTTCAAATAAAGAAAAGAATAAGGAATTTTAATGACTAGCAGGTTATACTTTTCCAAAGGCAGCTTCATCTGAGAGCAGCCAAGAAATATATACTCCCACAGGTAATAAAAAACCCTTCTGTATAAAGCAGCTTTGAACATAATTGGAGATTCATAAAACAGTATATGGGTTTTTCACAGGCTGCTTTTCAAGTAAATCCATAAATATACTACCATTTTTTTTAGAGCTAAGCCCAATGAATATTAATATAATTACACCACCACTGCTGAGATATTTGTAATATTACATACTCTTACTAAGCCACAGCTTAAACCATTTGGGATACAATCCTGCTAACATTGATCCTAGCAACATTGTTCCCCTTTCTGAGACTGAGACAGAGGTACTGGAACCAAGAGAGAAAATTATCTGGAGAACATAGAACAGCTGACCTGTTATATGTTTTGCTCCTTTCATTTCTGTTTGCCGGAGCGAGAAAGCAGGTGCCAATCCAGCAGCTCATTTTCACCAGATGAAGATAATCACAAAGGACACCTCACCATTGCCTTGTCATTTGCAGAACCTCTGGCACCAGCTGGTATCAAACAGTAGAAAACCATCCTTGCAAACAAGCAGAACAGGGTGGGGGGGAACAAGGGATGGCAGCTTTGGTTTCCATTAGCAATTTGGATCAGCTGGAGGAGAGTTCTGGCAAACACCAGGGCCAGGTATGTAGTGAGAGAATGAAACCTGGATGCTGCGGGTTAGCCCTGCATGCAGTCAAGCCCCACACAACTGGTCACTCACTTTGTTCCACAGGATGGATGAGAACTTGAGGAATAAAAGTGTGAAAAGTCATGATGTGAGATGAAACAGTACAGGAAGTAAAGAAAAGCTGTGCACAAACAAAGCAGAACAAAGCCATCCATTCACTGCTTCCCATGATCTGGTCTGTGCTCACCCATTTCTAAGCTGGGCTTCATCACATTTAATGGTGACTTGAAAAGGCAGATTCCACAACTTCAAATATTCCCATTGTTTCCTGCAGTGTCATATGCTGTCAGATATCCTTTGGTCAGTGAGGGTCAGCTGGCTCAGCTGTGTCCCCATCAAACTTCTTGTGCACCCCCAGCCTACTTACTTTATTTAAAATTCTAAAACTGAAACTAAATGTTTAAGCACTTCTCAGGAAGAGCTAAAACATTGATGTGTTATCAACACAATTTTGGTCACAAATCCAAAACATAGTCCCATTCCACCTACTGTGAAGAGAATTAACCACCTCAAACAAGAGCACTGGCTATCAGTTTCAGAGAGGTCACAGAGAGACAGGCACATGAAAATACCTATCATCTCCCTCTCCCCCTAAAAATATCACCTGAAATTGGTTAAGAAATTTAGATTCTCAGACTTTCTTTTATAGGACTGCAACACCTGGGACGAGGTACCCCAAGTAAGAATAATCACAGCAGCAAGAGGGAGATAATCAGAAGAGAAGAGAGAATTAAATTGCAAAAAGCAGGTAAGATGACAAGTATTACAGAGATTCATGAGGAATAGCAAAAAAGGTCATATGAAATAGCATCTCATTTCACAAGACATTTTAGTGAGATATTTTAATTAGTGCCACCATGCATGTGGCACCTTAGTAAGACACATCTCTGTGGAAACCCTCACCAATTTGTAATGCCGAGCATTTGGCATTAGACAAAAACTAAAAACCAATTTTGTTCCCTTTTTGAATATTGCCCTTTAGGAGTCAGAATACCCACTGGATTTCTACCAGACAAAGTAAGAAGTCCTAATGTACTAAAATATAATGTCTCATAGATGATCTCTACATTTCAACAATGAAGGATTTAATGACTCACATGAAAAAGAGAAATAGAAATGCAAAGATTAATAATTTCTAATCATTTGTTTAACAGTCCCAAAGCAACACAGGCAGTCCATAGCAATGAAATATTATTGAGAAGTATGAGATCAGGAAGAAAAGGTGTTATCAATACTTACATAACAAAATTAGAGCACTTATATTTTTAATATCCAGATATGAGCATTCCCACTGGGAGATCTAATTTACTCTACTTCAAAATAACCACAAATCAGTCTGTTTTATTGAGTGTGATGAGAAAAGCTTACTGAAGAGCAATACTTCCTTAGAGGCACCATTGACTATAGATACCCAACTCAGTAATTTAATAAAAAAAAATAAATCCATAATTCTGTGGCTAGAAAGAAAACTCACATGTTAATTCCAAGCTATTGATTTGCAAAGAGGAGCAATAATTAATGTCTGTGTATGTATGTGTGTATATGTTTACAAACAAATTTTTATGTCATTGGTTTTGTTTAATTTTACTAGAAAATAAGACTGGATATTTAATCAAAACCAAAAAGCATAAGGAGTGTATATATCTATATATATACACATACATACACATATATATCATTATATATATATATATATATGTATGTATATATATGTGTGTATGTATATATATGTGTGTATATATACACATACATACATACATACATATATATTGATATTGTAATATTTCAGGTAGGCTCTGCTTCCAGGAACAATATCCAGGGTTATTTAAGATGGGACTACTGTTTGAAATCTGTTCTGAACATAGGAGAATGGATTTTCAAGTGTCAAAGGATAATCCTTTTTCACGCTTGGTAAAGGATGCATCTGATGCTAAGCTTTATTTAAAAGTCTAAAACTGGAAGTAAGTAAATATATGGTAAGAGATAACATAAATCAAAGTGTCTGTATGTGATAAAGCCTGTTAAGAGATAAGGAAAAAAAATTATCTGTCAATAGACTGGCCATGAGATATTTCCATGTTTCTTTAAAAGCACCTACATACAGCCACTCTGTGGAAATTCCCTCAGATATTCTAACCAGATGCAAATGTTATTTGTTCCAACTAAGCACACTTTTCAAAGAAATCTTACTGAGCAGTCATTGTAAACAAGATGCCTTTGAAGATGATGAGGAGGGCCTAAAGTGAATTTCCTGTTAAATCAGATACTGTGGAAAAATACACTGTTAATAGAATGAGACTGGTATCGAAACATGAATTTATTGTCCTAATATAGAAAAACAATGACAGTGAGAAAATGCATCAGGATTTGGTTCACTTTGAAACAAGAAATAATTTATTGCACAGTATCAGGAGTAATAAAATATGTAATATATCTGTCTTTCAAGCTCTTCTTTTTTCTTGTTTTCTGCTTTTGCTTTTTATCTCTGTTTTTCCAGATACATCCCAACATTATATAGGCAAACTGTCTTTCTGTACATCTATTTTCCCTATCTGATAACTAGTTTATCCAGTCTTAGAGCTTACAACTTTCTAATTTTAGAAATATTAACGTCAAAGCTATGAACGTAGGTATATTTAATTTAATTAATAGTATTATAGCATGAAAAGAAAAACTCTAGAAATTCAGTTTTTATCTTCAAGTCCTCTGAGTATGTTTTGGTTTTTTTTTCTGCTTTATGGTTTATTATACAGATAGATCCACGTGTTAGATATAGGTATATCTCTCAGTAAACTATTTCTGACAGAACTCTGGAATAATGGCATTTAGCCAAAATCTGTGCACAGATTTTGACTGCCTTATTTGGGCTGTGCTGTAATTGAATGGAATCCAAACAAACTAATGCTGCTTCTATTGGCATCTTTGTTTTTAGCTTGTACTTTTGTAACTGTGAAGAATCTCTTTCATGGAGACCTTCTAAACTTAATGATACTGGTTATTCCCTTAGCACAAATGTTACAGTATACCCTAATAATTACTCATTCACCAGTAGTCAGTCTGCACCACCCATTCATTGAGTTCTGTTTTAAAAACAGAAGGCACTGGAGCTGATCTAAACAGCACCCATCTAAGACCTTGTGCATCACATGTGTTTGTTTCTGCAATATCTCATTTTTCTCATAAATTGGTCATTGATGCTCTTCAAAAATCAACAGTCTTGATTTCTGCTTTGGTGATTAGTTATTCCCTATTAAAAACCGCAGAACTTACACCTCACCATTGGAAAATGTATAATCATTTGCACTTTCAGCAAGGTAAGAGTTATATTTCCTTTTACATTTGTTTTACTATGGGCTGTACAGACACAATCACAGTCCAATAGTCATCTTCTATTGCATATGCTTATCAGGAATTATATTTTTCCACTAAAATAAACTAATTGTAGTAGTAAGAAACAAAATAATAAAAATTAAAATAAAAGATTGCCAGGATACATCTGGTTTATTATGTAAACAGGCAAAACAACAAAAGACAATATTTACTGAAAGTTAAAAACAACGATTATACCATGTTCCAATTCAGCAAAGTCTCAAATTAAAAAAAAAAACACCTTCTTCTTTAGAAACTTTCCCTTTCTTTGTTTTGAGGACTGTAAAGGATCCATGACTGATGCAACCTGCTATGGATGAAAGATCAAATATTTTTGCACCCTGCAGATGGTGCTTTGTTATTTTTGTAAGCAGGTCACTAAGTAAATTCTGTTTTCATTTTCAAATGAAAAGCTTTTGCCAGATGTTAAATTGATCTCTAAAACTTTTAAAATATTTCTTTGTAAAAACAGAAAATGGAGAGATCTGATAAGACCAACTCTGATTTCTCAAAGCCAACACTGCTTTAAATAAGTTAATAAATACAGGTATCACGCAACAAGTTAATATTTAAAATCACCATAGATAAAGGACTTAAAATATTTATTTTCTATGTTGTAGTAGGACAATATTTCCTCTAAGCAACTTAAGTTCTGAATTTTATTTCTGCCTAACAAAACTTGGACCACAGAACTGAGGTCAGGCTACTTCAAATATATATATATAAAAAAAGACTGGCAGGCTTAGTATTTCCTACTCCTTCTCTAAAAGTTTGAGACATCAGTGATTTCTTATATTTTATTTTTATTTCCATCTTTTTCACATTTACAATTCTAATAAGTAAACTTCCTATGCCAAATACACTGACTGGCTTCATTGCAGGAAGTTGCCAGTTAATCTGTCATTCACCTGCAAATACATCTCCAGCTTCAATCTGTCAGCTGACAAAAAAGGGAGAATAAGAATATATGCAAGAGTATAACTCGGTATATATAATCTAAGCTCCTTTTACTTCAGAAAAAAAAAATGTTCAGTTTTTTTTTTTTAATAGTCATTTAGAGAGAAAATAACTTGAAAAAAATTTGATGTTCCCTGCTAAAAGAAAATAGTGGAATGAGGAAATCTGTGAATTTGGTGCAATCATGTGCTTCCAAATTTTATGAAATAACCAATTAAACAATCATGTGCTTCCAAATTTTATGAAATAACCAATTAAACAGCATCGTCAGCTGGTCATATGTCTGACTGGACAGGCACAGTATATGAACTTCAGAAGTTTCAATTATGAGCTGGAAATAAAGAGAGGATTTGTAAGAAAAAAGATTTTATAATGGTCAGGAAAGGAAAGGTCTTGGTAGCAAAATGCTAAATTAATAAGAGAAATTAATATATGTTTCTTCTTTGTTCCTACTGCTTTAGTTAATACTGTTAACAAATCTTTCATACCTGTCTCAAACTTTTAAAATATACTGGG